ATGTGCCGTAAGCCCTCCAGCAATGCGAACTACCGTAGGGCGGGGTGCATTGGGTACTCGGGTAGTGCGGTGAAGTCCTCGCGCACCATTGGACGATGCCGCGTCGCACCAGTCCTGCCACCGTCGGCGATCCTCTTTTACTTCATCCAGCTCGGCCTTCCGTGCATCAGATGCGATGTCTCGACGGTACTGCTCAAGAATTCCAGCAGCGGTGACTGTCACGGTGGAGCCGGTCTCGATCATCGTCCTGAGAGACGGTTCCAGTCTGGTCCCCGAGCTGCGCATTGATGCCAAAGAAATCGCCCTGGTCAATGTCAGGCTCGTCAAACTGATCAAGAAACAGGCCATCAACTTGCAGGCCTTCCTGGCCTGAAGGGCCAACCTCGACAGCGGCCGCAGGGGCCACTTCAGAGCGTAGATGTGCTGTGGACGGTGCTGGTAGCGGGCCTTGGGCTCCAGCTGCACGAAGTAAGGCATTACCTACAGCGACACGCGCCTCAAGAACACTGGCATCCAGACGTGCGCATAGACCCTGCCCGAAATATTCAGCGGTCGAAAACACATCCACCTCGGCTTCCAGACAAGGTACCGTAGTGTGCTTGAGCCTCATGAGCTTGCACAGGTTGTCCAGGGACTGCGATAACCATGTCCAGCCGCGAGAGATCGCCTTGGCTTCAGCAACTGTCTCGGGGCGGTGATTGTAATCAACCCATCTGGCTTTGGGTGGCGCTCCCCACGAGGCGCTGCTGGACGTACTCTGGCCAGTGACTGCACTAACCTCCTTCTCGGCGGCATGGGCGAAAGTAGCCCACGCTCGCGACAAAATGCACCATGCTTCACGGACAGGCTTCTGGCGACTAGCATCGACGGCCGCCTCAGCCATCACAGAAGGGTACTGCCAGTCAGAGCCTTCTCGTGCAGGACCAATGAAACGTTCGGTCCCATACTTCTTCGCCACCGTGTATACCATGTACTGCTGCCTTAGGCCTTCCGTGGAAAGGCCCGGTGAGATAGGTCGGCGAGGTCGTTTCGGCCATGAGGTGTCCACGTGGACGGATTCAAGCAACCTTTTGGCAACAGTGTTGACAGCAAAGAAATCAATCGCACGGCTAGACTTGGGTGTAATGCATGTGGGCAGGGACGGGGCCACAAGTACCATCTTGGCCTCTCTCGGGAAACCTGACTCCTCGATGTCCCTCGGCGTAGCACTCCAGTCGCCAGCCAGGACGACGGGGTCGGCAATCTCGGAGATCCGCGTGCCGATCTGAGCCAGGATGCGCGCATTCCTGCCCTTGATACCCTGGTTGACCACCAGGTAGAAGCAGACGATGTGCAACGGCGGCCAACCAGGAAGGTGCACAACTGCGTGCAGTGCGCGGCGATGGTGAAGGACAGCGTGGGCGCAACCTGGTCCCCGAAGTCCAACGTGATCCCTAGCAAGAATAGCAACACCCTGCGTGGGCGTTGTTCCCTTGGACTTGGCGCCAGGGCTGGTGAGACACTTCCACCCTCGACGACCTGCCCAGGCAACAAAATCATCATTATCATCATCATGGAATCCAACTTCCTGCGCGACGAAGATTGTCGCTGACGAAGCCTGTATATTTTCCTTCAGCGTGCGGATGCCACGGTTGGCGTTGAAGGATTCCACAAAGAACTGGCTTCTAGGGTCAGCATTCGGTGGTGGCCGAACTTGGCCGTGATGGGCAGGTAAGCTACTGACGAAAACAGGCAGATCAAAGGCGCTGCCGTTTATCTCGGTGCATGGCCAGTAGCTTGTCATGGAACTTCTGCATGAGGTCTTCGTTGCTGTCGGCAGGGTTGCCCCCTTTGACGAGCTCGAAAAGTGTCTTTGACTCCTCGAAAGTGGGGTCAAGGTCACGCTTGACGCCGCCACCAGAGGAGCCGTCATCACCAGGAGTAGGAGACTCATCAGGACTCTCAGCGGGCTGCTGTGGCATAGGGGCGTCCTCAGGCTCGGGCGCGGTTGCCTTCCGCACCTGGCCCTCGAGGTCCGCGAACAACTTGGCAGTGGTCTCCGCTCCGATGGACTCGAGGGCGGTACGGATCTCCTCGGGGAGCCCATCCTTGTCGAACTTGAAATCAGGGAAGAGGGACCGCTCTGGGGCGACGGCCTTGGCGGTCTCAGCGAACGGCTTCTTGTAGCCATCGATCTCCGCCTCCTTGGAGGTGATTGCGGCCCTCTTGTTCTCCAGTGCAGCCTGGAGATCATGAACTTGCTTGGACATCTTCTCAGCCTCGCGCTGGAGCTTGACCAGCTGCGATTGCGCATTCTTGAGCTTATCCTGGGCCCTGCGATGGGCAGCTTCAGGAGACTGGACACTCTCGAGCTGCACACGGAGGGTCTCGATCTCAAGCTGGTGCGCCTGCTTGACATGAGACGGCGGCGACGGCTCCTTGAGGGACTTTTCATAGAAGGCGATCGATGAGAGAATCTCCGCACGGGTAGCTCATGCATCCTTCGGTCTCTCAGCTCCTGTACCCTGGTCGGGCGTCGGGTCCTTGAGGCTTGCGTTGGCCAACTTGCGCTCGAGCGCGGCCACCTGCTTGCGGAGCTCCTCATTGTGGTCCCGTGCCCATGGCGCTGGTGTGGCACGACGGCCACCAAGCACGGGCTTCCTCCCTTGCACTTCCTTCTCAGCTCTGGCGTGTGCGGTCTTGACTGCGGCGACAATGCGAGCTGGGGCAGCGGTGCCGCAACGGCAGCGAACTCGGCACGCCCAGTTCTTGTCTGCGCCACAAATGCATCCCCGGTACGGCGACCTGGGGCCGCGCAGCACATCGGAGACGGGAGGCGGTGGGACCATGGGGCTCGCGAACCCTCCAGCTGCAGCTGGAGGACCCCTGAAGAATTGGATTGTCTGGCTCGGGAAACAGAGCTATCCCACTTTGGCACGAGGGCGCGGAAGCCCCCAAGTGCAAGCATCTTGAGCCAAAATGGCTACGGGGAGGAGGAGGGAGGAGGAGGAGGAGGAGGAGGAGGGAGGAGGAGTAGGAGGAGGAGGAGGAGGAGGAGGAGAAGGAGGAGGAGGAGGAGGCCACCGAACAGGCCATTCCTGCCTGAGGCCACTGCGAGCAGGAGGGCGAAGAGTCGCCGCTCCGCAGGGCGTGGGGACGCGTTCTGGCGAGGGCGGCGGGAGGGTAGATTGCCGCCGCCATGGTGTTCTTTAAATGTTGCCCCCCTCCCGCATCAAGAGCACCACCGCCACAACCACAACCACCATAATCATCATCATCATCATCATCATCATCATCATCATCATCATCATCATCATCAGCAGCATCAGCATAAGCATGCGCATCAGCATAAGCAGCAGCATCAGCATCATCATCAGCATCGTCGTCATCATCATCAGCATAATCATCATCAGCAGCATCACCATCATCAGCATCAGCATCATCATCAGCAGCAGAAGCATCATCAACAGCAGCATCATCAGCATCATTCCCATCACCATCAGCATCAGCATCAGCAACATCAGAATCAGCAGCAGCATCATCATCAGCATCGTCATCATCACTAGCACCAGCACCATCACCATCACCACACATCCCATCATCATCGTCACCATCATCAGCATGAGAATCATAATCAGCATAAGCAGCAGCATCAGCATCATCACCAACACCACCGTCACACAGTCAGAATCCTAACCATCACCATCGTCGGCCGTCCCAACATCAACAGCAGCAGCACCGTCCTCCCAAGAATCACTAACAGCGGAAACTGCATCAAGATAAGCAATCTCAACAACAGCAGCAGCAACCACAGCATCATAGTTGCCGTCAGTATCATTGCCATCACCACCACCATCATCACCATCATCATCAACAACATCAATACCATCAGCACCACCATCTTCATCATCAGCATCTGCATCTGCGCCTGCATCTATATCTGCATCTGCATCTGCACCGGCCGTCGCATCAGCTGCAGCAGTATTGTCATCTTACTCCTCGCATTCCTCCTCGTCCTCATCCTCCCAGATGTCCACGTTGTTCGTCCAGTTCCGTTCTCCTAATCCCTGACCCCTCCTACATCGTTTTCTTCCTCATCTTCCTCCCCTCGAACCGTGCGAGTGGATGACGTGATCGGTGATCGCTGAGGCCCGCGCGATCAGCCAGGCGATGAGGCTCAGATGAAAACCGACCGGCGGGGGACGGCCCGGTGAGGAGCGCCAAAGTGTTGCAGATGGCTACTTAGGAAAGATGCTCAAAGGGGGGGAAGGGAGGAGGCGGCAGGGGGAGGAGGCGGGATAAGGACGAGGAGGAGGAGGGGGTGGAGGAGGGGCCAGGGGGAAGAGAACGGAGGAGGAGGAAGGGGAGGAGGAGGAGGGGAGGAGGATGGGGAGGATGGGGAGGATGGAACGGAGGAGGGAAAGATGCTCAAAGGTTGCTGCCGGGGGCGAGGCACCTCTGGCCTGCGTCGCAGGGGGCGGCGGCACGTCGAGGGGGCAGCCGCGCAGGCACGCGGCGCGGAGACCACCGCGGGATCGTCGGATGCGCTCCCGAAAGGTCCTCGCCTTCGCGGGCCGCGGGGGTCGCCACCTCCTCCTTCCTCCTCCTCCTCCTCCTCCTCCTCCTCCACCTCCTCCTCCTCCCTCCTCCTCCTCCTCCTCCTCCTCCTCCTCCTCCTCCTCCTCCTCCTCCTCCTCCTCCTCCTCCTCCTCCTCCTCCTCCTCCTCGCCTTCGCGGGCCGCGGGGGTCGCCACCTCTTCTGCGGCGGAAGGTCGGCGGAAGGTCGGCGGAGGGCAGCGGAAGGGCAGCGAGGCGACCTCCGCCGGCGGAGGGCGGCGGCAGGCCGGCGGAGGCCGGCGGAGGGTGAGGAGGGGCCTCCCGAGAGATGGCAAGGCGTGTGTGGTGCAGGGTGCCCGGGACCCGCCAGTTGGACACGCGGTCGTCGATGCAAAAGCAGGCAGGGGAGAGCAAGAGTAGCCACCGGGGCGGCAGACCAGAGGTGTGCGCATTCTGGCCCTCTGGAGGTGTTCTTCAAGTTGACCCTCCCCCACGACGGCACGGTGATCAAGGCGAGCCACTGGTTGCGGCTTTGCTTTGCGGGGTACACAGTATGCCAAGTATTGCAAGGGGGTGTTATCATCTTGGTCGCGCGTCCGTCGACTACTCTGGTAGGGCTGTTACAGAAGACGTGCTGGGAGTTCCACACGCCGGATGGCATAGCCAGCACGGGCTTGTTGATTGAGGGTGCTGGAGTCTTGGCGAGAGAATACTGTGTCTGGGGACAGTGCATAGCCAGCGCACTTATGGATACATGGGGATGAGGGTGAGAAGGGGAAGGGCGAGGACCAGAATACGGTGGAGGCCCATGCCAAGAAGCACCTTGCTGGCCTCCAGGGTGCCTTGGGTTTCTTGGGTTTCGATGGTTCTGCTATGGAGAGCGCGACGTTCCGGTGGACGCCCTGGGGTCTCAGGGTTAGGTTTCTCGTGGATGGTTTCTTGCAGACTGGCCTCCCCTGTTCTAGGCCCCCTAGATGGGGTCGGAGCAGATGTGGTTGGAGGATCGCGCCGCATCGCCGATGCATCGACGATGCGGCTCGATGCGGAACCCGATTTTCTCCGCGCCGACGTCGGCGATGCATCGCCGACGCATCGCCAACGCATCGCCGATGCATCGCCAATGCATCGCCGATGCATCGCCGCTTCAGTGCAATCCTCCGACCCCACCTGCTCGGACCCCATCTGGGGGGCGTCTACCGGTTCGCCCAGGATGCAGAAGCGATGCTGGAGTGCATCCTCCTGTCCCAGAGTCCCCATACTGAAGATCGATGGACGCCCTGGGGTCTCAGGGTTGGGCCTCTCGCAGAAGGTCTCTTGTGGGCTGGCCTCCCCTGCACACCCAGGATGCAGCAGCGGCGCTGGGAGTGCATCCTCCTGTCCCAAAAAGTCCCCTTCGCGGGGGCCCCCCGCCGCAGTCCCTGCCGCCGCGGGAGGCGTCCCGCCCTTGCACTGCGAGCGCGCGGCGGGCCCGCCACGCAGGCGAGGCTCCTGCTCTGAAGCTGAAGGGAATTTCCATCCACCCAGCCTCAAGCTGGGCACGTCCCTCCACAGGGGGGATGTTCAAACATAGGCAAAAAACAAAAAACAAAAACAAAAAGTTTGGGGACGAATCTCTTACTGTTTTCGACAATGTTTGAACACGTGTTGACTCTTGTTTTACATTTTTCGTCCGAATTCGCCTGTAGGTGAACACGCCCGACCTAAGCCTAGTAAAAAAGCGCAGAGATCCAAGAACAAAAAAACGGCATGAACATAAACTGTCGGAGGTCCGCGCGGATTTCTTGGACCTGCGCTGGGCCCCCCCGGCGGCGCCTCTGGCACCGCCCCTGGCGCGTTCCGCGCGCCAGGGAGGGGTCCAGCGCAGATCCAAGAATTCCGCGCGGAGCGCCAAGAGTTTATATTGGATCCGTTTGTTCTTCCAACATTGACTGAAGAGACCAGCGACAGCCCCGTTTTTGAAAAAGATCTTCCCGTCATCAAGTCAAGCAGTGCGCAAGGTCAGAGGTCTGGTCATACACTTGCGGAAGTCTGAGGCCCGAGGCCAAATTTGGGAAAGACCCGCCCTCCATCCGCGCAGCTGCTGCACAGTGCGGAGCTCGGGGTCATACAGTGCAGAAGTACCAAGCGAGAGCCGCATTTTGCGGCAGCGAGCCATCATCCCTCTCTGGAACGGTGAGATGTTTCAGCACGAAGGCGCGCGGCGCTGGGGCGAGAGCCGCATGTCAGAAACCACCGGCCTTCCATCATTGTAGCCACTGGATTTCTTTCACGGCGAACGTGCGCGGCGCTGAAGCGAGGGCCGCATTCGGGAAACCACTGGGCGTTCGTCCTTGTGGCAGGTTGGGAAGTTTGGGAAGGAGTGCGCGCGGCGCCAAGGCGAGAGCCGCACCTAAGACACGGCACGCCCTCCGTGCGTGCAGCTGCTGGAAGCACCCACAGCGAATGTGCTTCGGCGCTGCGGCGAGGGCGGCGTTCTGGAAACTACCAGCCCTCCTCCTCCTCCTCCTCCTCCTCCTCCTCCTCCTCCTCCTCCTCCTCCTCCTCCTCCTCGTCCTATCTCCCTCCTCCCTCCTCCTCCCTCCTCCTTCCTCCTCACTCCTCCCTCCTCCTCCTCCTCCTCTTCCTCCATCCTTGGAGCTGCTGGAGCTTTCCGCCACGCATAGCAGTTCGCAAGGAAGGAAGGCTCCAGCGAACCAGGCCCGGCCTGGCCCACCGGGACACGTCGGGTGGTGCGGCAGGGGGAGTTACTTCTCAGGAACAGGGGTGTAGAGAAGGAGGAGGAGGAGGAGGAGGAGAGGTGAGAGCGCCTCCTCGTCTGAGGCACCGATCCAGTTTGTTCCTGTGCGGTTCTGGTCAAGACGAGAGAGCAGATCGTGTCCACATAGGGGCGCCGGTGGCGAAGGTCGGAGCTCCAGTGGCTAGAGTGGATCAAAGTACGGCCAGGACGTCGTGCAGTACATCTCTCTCTCCCTCATTTTTCTTTCTCGTGGGCCACGGAACCTCCTCCTCATCATCCTTATCCGCGCTCCGCAGTGTTGCCACCTCGCAGATCATTGGTTATCATTGCCTGCTGCTTCTCCTCTTTCCCCTCCTCCTCCTCCTCCACCACCTCCTCCTCCTCCTCGCAACAATCCTGATCCTCCTCTTCCTCTTCCTCTTCCTCCTCCCACTCCTCCTCTAGGCTCTAGGAGGGGGAAGGCCCAGAGATCCGACGTCGCGAAAACGAATAAGGAAAAGTCACGACCAGAGCCCCAGACCCCATCTTCCTGCAGCTCTCTTGAGCCGCATCGACCGCGAGGGCCCCGGTGCCCGAAGCCAGGCCAAGACGCCCCGTGTGAAAAAGTGGCAGGACGCGGGTCCCAGCTGAGGACGACGACGACGACGACGACGACGACGACGACAGCGACGACGGCGGCGGCGGCGGCGGCGACGGCGGCGGCGGCGGCGGCGATGACCGCCGCAAGAATCCGTTCGGAGCGGGCCCCCAAACCTCCACCGGGGGCGCGTCTCGGCGAGCTGCTCGGGACGCGCCCGGCGGCGGCGACGACGAGGGCCCTCGAAGGCCGACGGCGACGGCGACGGCGGCAGCGGTGGCGACGGCGGCGACGACGGCGGAGACGGCGACGGCGACGGCGACGGTGACGGCGACGGCGACGGCGACGGCGACGGCGACGGCGACGGCGACGGCGACGGCGACGGCGACGGCGACGGCGAGGAGGAGGAGGAGGAGGAGGAGGAAGGAGGAGGACGGGTCGAGGCGTGCCAGCCCCGCTGACTCCGCAGCAAAAGAGCCGGCCTCCGAGCACCTCGCGCAGCGCTACCAGTATGGGGGGAGCCTTTTGGGCAGCACCCGCCGCCGTCCCCGTCCGTCGTCCTCGCTCGTCGTCTTCTTCCTCCTCGTCCTCATCCTCGTGAATCTCAGCGTCCTCCTCATGCTTGTCCTCTTCCGCTCCGTCGTTCCGCTCCTCATCATCCGCGTGATCGTACTTACCGTCCTCTTCCAGCTCAAGATCCTCATAATCCTCCTCCTCCTCCTCCTCCTCCTCTTCCTCCTCCTCCTCCTCCTCCGCCTCTGCCTCCGCCTCCGCCTCATCCTCCTCCGCCTCCTCCCCATGTTGGCTATTATCCCTACGCCGCCTCCTCCGTTCCACCCTTCATATATGAATCGGCATGCATAACACCAACAGACACGCACACACACACACACACACACACACACACACACACACACACACACACGCGCGCGCAATCATCGTCGTCATCGTCATCATCATCATCAGCAGCAGCATCATCATATTCTTCATCTTCATGATCAGCATCACCACCATCATCATCATTACCAGCATCATCATCATCACCACCATCATCATCAGCAGCATCATCACCAGTATCATTGCCATTACCATTATCCTTATCACTATCATCATCATTGCCATCAGCATTAGCATCATCAGCAGCAGCATCAGCAGCATCAGCATCAGCAGCATCAGCATCAGCATCGTCATCAACATCACCACTACCAACATCACCATCCGCAGCAGCATCATCATTTCCTTCTCCTCCTCCTCCCCCCTCATCCACCTCCTTGATCGCGGGGAGTGGACACCCAGCTCCTTGGTTACACGGCCCGAGCCCCTGCAAGGGGCGTGCAGATCAAATGCCTTTCCAGCTGGAGAAGACCACCAGGATCATAGAGTCGTACAACAACAGCCGCTCATCCCCCAGGAGGAGGTTTACCAAGGACCGGAAGCGCGCCTCCCCATCCTTGGTTCTAGGCCTCCTAGATGGGGTCGAAGTAGATGGGGTCAGAGGATCGCGCCGCATCGCCGATGCACCCGAATTTCTCCGCGCCTGAGTCGCCAATTCACTGGCGACGTCGCCGATGCATCGTCGACGCATCGGCGATGTATCGGCGATGCATCGGCGATCCTCCGACCCCATCTACTCGGACCCCATCTGGGAGGCTTTTAGTCCCTTTTCACAAACGTCGCGCACATCATCGAAAAAAGTCATCTTATCCAGGGTTGGCCGGAAGGTTGATCAGAGGGCTGGCCGGTGCTAATTAATCGGTAGCTTCAGAGGAAAGAATTGCATTAAGATATACTTTCGGAGGTCCCCTTGGATTTTTGGGATCGGCGCGGGATTCGTGCCTTTACCCAGCGTTCTCGTCGCGGATGCGGATGGTGATGGTGATGGCGATGGTGATGGTGATGGTGATGGTGGTGGTGATGGGGGTGGTGATGGTGATGGTGGTGGTGATGGTGGTGGTGATGAAGATGGTGGTGATAGTGATGATGAAGATGATGATGATGATGATGATGATGATGATGATGATGATGACGATGACGATGATGATGATGGTGATGATGACGACGATGGTGATGACGATGATGATGACGACGACGACGATGATGATGATGATCATCATCATGAGGATGATCATGATGATGATGATGACGATGATGATGATGCTGATGATGATGATAATGATGATGATGATGATGGTATTGATGATGATGATGATGATGATGATGATGATGATGATGATGGTGATGGTGATGGTGATGGTGATGGTGATGGTGATGGTGATGGTGATGGTGATGGTGATGGTTTGTGTGATGGTGGTGGTGGTGATAGTGGTAATAGTGGTGTTGGTGGTGGTTGTGATGTTGATTGTGATGGTGATGGTGACGACGATGATCAGGAGGAGGAGGAGGAGGTGGTAGTGTATGAATCTACGCGGGAGTCCAGCCGCTCATTCGGTGGAGTCGGCGCCACAGGGGTCCGCAGGCTAGGTGTGCGCGGGCAGGAGGGCGCCGGCGGGAGCCAGAGCCGGCGCCAGAGAGGTCGTGTCGGGCGCCGGAGCCAGAGCGACGTCGCCGTCTTCGTCGTCGTCGTCATCGCCCTGACTCTGGCTCCCGCTGCTCCGACTGCGTAGCGCGAGGCCACCAGGTGGGGGCTCGGGGGCCGCCCCCCGTCTGTGCGCAGCCTGGCTTCGGGCTGCGGGGTGCGCAACCCGAGGCCTGCACAGCTGGGACAGCCCCCGCAGGTAGTTCCAGCTGGTCTCAGCAGACCCTCCTCCTCCTCCCTCCTCCTCCTCCTCCTCCTCCTCCTCCTCCTCCTCCTCCTCCTCCTCCCTCCCTCCTCCTCCTCCTCCTCCTCCTCCTCCTCCCTCCTCCTCCTCCTCCTCCTCCTCCTCCTCCTCCTGCTCCTCCTCATAGTCTGGCGCCTCGGCGCCCCGCCGTCGCCTCCCGCGCCGCCCCGGGCCCCAGCCGCCCCGGGCTGCGCAGAGTCGGAGAGGTGTGGCGGCGAGCAGAGGAGAGGCCGGGGCGGTGGTGGAAAGAGGCCGGGGGGCGTGGGAAGGCGGAGCCGAAGAGCCGAACAATACGAATAGTTTCGCGATTCTAGATCGGGCAGCAGACCGAGTTCAGAGCTCTGGATTCAACGGACAACGGTCACTGATGATTCTGAATCAGATTCTGTATGTTTCAGCTCTGTAGCTGTTCTGTAGCTCGAGTTAAGTAGAGAAAATCGAGAGAGGTGGTGGTGGGTCGGGGCCTCGGGGCGCCGGCGGGTCAGGAGCAGCTTTGAAGCGGGACCGGGAGTCGGAGCCTGCGGTCGGGAAAAGAGGGGCACGGAATGGGTGCTCGATTGCAGGATTTTGAGTTGCCTCGGAAGAAGTGGTCCGCCAAAGCTACGACAAGTCCGCAGATTGTTCCGTAGATCTACCGAACATTCTGCGTATGTTTCGTAGATTTGGGGAAGAGGGGCATGGAATGGGTGCTCGACTACAGGATCGAGTTGTCCCAAAAGAAGTGGTCCGCCAAAGCTACGACAAGTCCGCAGGTTGTTCCGTAGATCTACCGAACATTCTGCGTATGTTTCGTAGATTTGACGGAAAAGCCATCGTGGGGTAAATTAGTTACGTATTCGATCGCCGATCCGAGAGCAGGGGCTTGGGAGCGGCACCGGCGCCGAAGCCGCTTTCGGGCTCTGGACCTGTGGGGGCCCGCAGAGGCGGGAGCGCGGCGGAGAACCGTCTCAAGGGGGGGGGGGGTCAAGGGCGAGAGCTCCAGCGCACACATACCGCGAAGAGATCACGACGCCGGAGGCCTCCCGAGCATACAGGAATCACGAAGCGGGGCAGAACAGGTAGAGGGGCTGAATTGAGAGCAGGACAAACAGCTGGTGAGGGAGGCAATCACGGGCGCGGCGGCAAGTCACAGGAGCCCCGCGAGATTCGCATACGGAGAGTTTGAGTTGCTCGAGATAGTAGCCGTGTGTTGTATTCGATCGATTGTCACAAGACTCCGAACACGCTCGCCATGCCAGGACAGTTCAGGCCAGCGCGGCGTCGGCTGAATTTAGGTTTATTCAAGTGGCTTACTCCATTCCGCCGACCCCCGGAGGGAGCAAGAGCTTGCGACGATCCTGGAAGGCATGTAGTGAGGCAGGATCTTCTTGGATGCATCTGAAGGGGCTATTGGGAAGCTTCTCGGGGGCATCTCGGAGGGCTCTTTGTGGCATCTGGGGGGCTTGTGGGGGGTTCTTGAATGCCTCTGGGGGGGGGGGCCATTTGGGAGGAGGGAGACGACGCGGCGCGTCGGGCCAGTCTCAGTTAGCGTGAAACATGTTTCGACCCGTGGCGCGGGATCAAAAGCCGCAAAAGGCAAGAAGCGAACAGAATGGAAGAAACGCGTGGCAATGCTGCAGGTGTTGGGGTATGCCGCCGCCACCTGCACCTTGTGGGACGGAGGCTTCTTGGATGCCCGTGCTTTTGTTTAAGGAAGCGTTTGGGGCGCTTCTTGGAGGCATGTTGGAGTGTTGTTGAATGTTTTTTCCCAACCCTCCTGTGTTGGGTTCCCGTTTTGAATAGAGACGTGTGGTCTCCTCCTACTCCTCCTCCTCCTCCTCCTCCTCCTCCTCCTCCTCCTCCTCCTCCTCCTCCTCCTCCTCCTCCTTCTCCTCCTCCTCCTCCTCCTCCTCCTCCTCCTCCTCCTCCTCCTCCTCCTCTCCTCCTCCTCCTCCTCCTCCTCCTCCTCCTCCCTCCTCCTCCTCCTCCTCCTCCTCCTTCCTCCTCCTCCTCCTCCTCCTCCTCCTCCTCCTCCTCCTCCTCCTCCTCGTCCTCCTCCCCTCTCCTCCCCTCCTCCTTCTATCCTGTTTCCTGTGTTCCCCTCTCCTCTTCTCTTGTGCCGTCGGGCTGCGATCTGCGCAACTTTCGCCACTTTCGTGGGCTCCTGGGAGGCCCAGCGGAGGTACGTCCCACGCGGACCACCACTATAGCTCGCGGTGCCCTGGTGGGCTACGATCTGTGAAATTGTCTGCAATTTCGTGGGCTCCTGGGAGGCCCAGCGGAGGTACGTCCCACGCAGACCACCACTATAGCTCGCGATGTCCTGGGGGCTGCGATCTGCGAAACTGTCGGCACTTTCGTGGGCTCTCGGGAGGCCCAGCGGAGGTGCGTCCCACGCGGACCACCATAGCTCGCGGTGCTTTGGGGGGCTGCGATCTGCGCAATTGTCTGCACTTTCGTGGGCTCCTGGGAGGCCCAGCAGAGGTACGTCCCACGCGGACCACCACTATAGCTCGCGGTGCCCTGGGGGGCTGCGATCTACGCAATTGTCGGCAATTTCGTGGGCCCCTGGCAGCCCAGCGGAGGTACGTCCCACGCGAACCACCACTATAGCTCGCGGTGCCCTGGGGGCTGCGATCTGCGCACTTGTCGGCAATTTCGTGGGCTCCTGGGAGGCCCAGCGGAGGTACGCCCCACGCGGACCACCAGTGTAGCTCGCGGTACCTAGGGGGTTGCGATCTGCGAAATTGTCTGCATTTTCGTTGATTCTTGGGAGGCCCAGCGGAGGTACGTCCCACGCGGACCACCACTATAGCTCGCGGTGATTTGGGGGGCTGCGATCTGCGCAATTGTCTGCATGTTCGTGGGCTCCTGGGAGGCCCAGCGGAGGTACGTCCCACGCAGACCACCATTATAGCTCGCGGTGCCTTGGGGGGCTGCGATCTGCGAAATTGTCGGCACGTTCGTGGGTTATTGGGAGGCCCAGCGGAGGTACGTCCCACGCAGACCACCACTATAGCTCGCGGTGCCCTTGGGGCTGCGATCTGCGCAATTGTCGGCACGTTCGTGGGCTCCTGGGAGGCCCAGCGGAGGTACGTCCCACGCGGACCACCACGATAGTTCGCGGTGACTTGGGGGGTTGCGATCTGCGAAATTGTTTGCACGTTCGTGGGTTCCTGGGAGGCCCAGCGGAGGTACGTCCCACGCGGACCACCATTATAGTTCGCGGTGCCCTGGGGGGCTGCGATCTACGAAACTGTCGGCACTTTCGTGGGCTCCTGGGAGGCCCAGCGGAGGTACGTCCCACGCGGACCACCAGTGTAGCTCGCGGTGCCTTTGGGGGGCTGCGATCTGCGCAATTGTCGGCACTTTCGTGGGCTCCTAGGAGGCCCAGCGGAGGTACGTCCCACGCAGACCACCATTATAGCTCGCGGTGCCCTGGGGGGCTGCGATCTGCGCAATGGTCGGCAATTTCGTGGGCTCTTGGGAGGCCCAGCGGAGGTACGTCATACGCGGACAGCCTCGGGACCTCGCCGCCCCCTGGGCGCCGCCCCCTGGGGGGGCTTGCGAGTTGCCGTTCCTCTTCTTGCTGCGCTCTTCTGAAATCACTGCTGGGTGCTCTTCTTTCGCACTGCGGGTCCTTCAGAATGCCAGTCAGCATTGAGTGGTGAGTATAGTCGCCACATGTGTAGAAAGGGTTCGGTACGTCACAGGGTAATGTCAGCAGCGTCTTGGAGCGTCTGTCGAGGCACCTGGGGTCCTTTTGGAGCCTCTTGGGGGCCTCTTGGGAACCTCGTGGAGGGTTCCTGGGACATCTGGGGGGCGCGTCGGGGGCTTCTCGGGGGGAAGGACTCGCAATGTCAGTACGCTTTTCCCTTCTTAGGCCTCTCTTGGGGTTCTCGTGGCCCGTCTTGGGAGCCCCTGGGGCCGTCGTGGGCGTCTCTAGGGGCTGTCTTCGGCCGTCTTGGGAGCACATGGGGCCGTATTGGAGCTCTCTTGGACCGTATTCGGGCAAACGTGGGACGATCTTGGGAGCTCTTGCGCCGTCTTGGACGCTCTGGAGACGCAAAAAGCGAGCATGCTGAAAACGCATGTCTTCCGAAAGGGAATGGGACGACTTTTCGCGTCTTGGGACCTTCTCGGCGGTCCTCTGGCAGCAGTCTTGAGCTGTTTGGGGGAGGCCAGCTGGGCTCGCCGTGGCACTTCCCTGGACCACATCGGCGACTTCTTGGACGGTATCGTCGCTTCGTTTGGGCCGTCCTGGGCCGTCTTGACGCGTCCTCCTCCTCCTCCTCCTCCTCCTCCTCCTCCTCCTCCTCCTCCCCTCCTCCTCCTCCTCCTCCTCCTCCTCCGCCCTGCTCCCAATCTGGGGCTTTGGAGAGGCTCCAGGGGGCCCGGGGGATGCATTTAGGAGCTCCTGCAGCCGCGCCCATCCCCCCTTCACACGGCAGTCTGGGCCCCAGGGGAAGGGGAGGAGGGGGAGGGGGACAGCCGATCAGCTCACGCGCTTGTGCACCCCCGGCAAGCGGGGGTCGACGGAGAACAACAACGTTGTGAGCAGACAAAGCTTTCGACTGTCGGGCCGGACGAAAGAGGGGGATTGGGAAAGGGGGGGTTACGAAATCTGCTGCATGCAGCTGGTTTCAGCCCCACCGAGGGGCCCATTCCTCGATACATAGCCACCTCCGGCGCCGGGAGGCGCCGGGAAAATCAGCTACGCGAGCTGATTCTCAAACCCCCCCTTTGCTATCCCCCCCTTTCGCCCGGCCCGAGACTGATATCACGAACGGCCTGCTCCCGAATACCATCGCACACGCAGACGCAGAACAGAATAGTCCAAGGAGTTCGCTTCGTGCTGGAGCCATCGGGGAAGGCAGACCGCATGAAAACAGCCCGCGAGGAAAGGAACGCGAGGGACATGTATGGCCGTCCTGTTCCGGCCTATACCACTTTTGAGTTTGATGTCGCCGACGATTTGGAGCCTTTTCGTCAGGTGCACAGTTTCCCCCGAGCAGCTTTGCTTGTATGAGTTGCTATTACCTGTTATCCGAGCTGCCTCCCAGCCAGTAGTCAAGATATTGTGCTCAAGTGCTTCTGTTCCGAGCCCGAAGCTGAATCGCATCTTTGCGCGCGGACTTGTCCGAATACGAACTGGCTCCTGGCTCGCTTGCGTGATCGCGTACTTGCAAACTTGCTCAATTGCGTGCTAACGATTTGCTGAGTTGCTTATCTGCGTATGTATATGAACGGCTACGTGCATGCTTGTTCGTATGAACGGTTGCGTGTGTGCATCATTGTTCATTTATTTTCTTGCCCGCTTCTTATTTGGAATCCTGTACGGTAGATGTCTCTAAGAACCGATTCGATGTGGCCACCTTTTGGGCGTCTATCTTGATGGGTGTGCCCGCGTCATGGGTGTGCCTGCTGCTTCAAGTATACCTATTGGGCTGATGTTCTTACGGTCAAGCCCATGTGCCCGCGCCGTATCAGATACTATGTCCGAATTCGAGGTGTTTGGTTGCAACTCATCCGAGCTCGGATCTCAGTCTGAACCATCATCATTCCTTTGTTCGTTTCAGTTCGCTTCCCTGCCTCCTGTTTGCTTGCTTCATTGGTGGTGTATATGCTAGAGTCTTGCCTGACGGTTCGTGTGCTGGTGTGCTTTTATGTTTGCATGGTTGATACATTGTGCGTGTGATGTATTACGTGGTTGCGCGTTTGTGTGTTTGATTTTGCATGTGCGTTCTTATTCGGCTGTTTCAGTATTTGGTTGATAACTTGCGTGCGCGATTGTTCGAATGTATTCAGTGATGCATGTTCTCGTGTGTGTTTACTTGTGTGAAGTGCGTCCATGCTTGCCTGCAAAGTTGATTGTTTGTTCGTCCGTTCATCACGAACGCGTTCGTCTTCGCCCGTTCCTGTGTAGGGACTTACCTAATGCGTAGTTGTGGCATTGTCGTTACATGCGGTTGCATTGCAAGATATATATATATATAAATATATATATATATATATATATATATATATGAATGTGTTGTGTTTGCTCTCGCCGGTTTGACTTGCAGCATGCAGTATGCGGTGGTTGTCACTCGATGCATTGTTACACAGATCACAGGTCGATGAGATTCGGCTTATCCAGCTCTGTTTGACAGATTGGTTGAACATGTCTGAGCTGGTCCAGCAGGAGACCATTAAGAGCATCCGCTTTTACGTGTTCAAGCAATGCGGATGCAATGGTTATCCGTAAGGGTTTCGCCCCCTGCCGCCGGCCCCCTCTACATCATAATGGGATATAGCATAGTCAAGTCGGTGCGTCTCGGCGCTGCCTTGGCGCATCTGGTAACAGCATGCGGGGGCGGATAGGAGTCATCAGCGCATATTGAAACGTTGGCGTTATCGAAGACGCCTACGGCGAATCACCGCCGCCCCCTGCCTTTTTGGAAGCGCCTATGTGGCCGAACGTTGAGGCCAGACCTGCCAAGCTATCGGACCATGTGTTCCCCGAATCGGTTTGGAAAGCCTTCGGGGAACACGTGGGCATCTTGAAGGTCTTCTTGGAGGACGTCTTGGCCCTTTCGGACCTTCTTGGAGGACGTCTTGGAGGTCTCTTGGGCCCTCTTGGGGCCGTCTTGGAGGCCACTTGGGCCGTCATGGAGCCCTCTTGGGGGCCTCTTGGGCGATCTTGGGTGCCTCTTGGGCCGTCTTGAGCAGTCGGAATGCCGAGAAGAAGCAGATTCCAAGTTCCTTCACGTCTTGGACCATCTTGGGCGGACTTGGAGGCCATCTTGGGCCATCTTCGCGATTTTTTGAGGACGTCCCGAGCGAAGCGGCCGTTTCAGGGAGGATGTTTTCCGGAGTCTGCGCTCCTGGAAGGGTCTCCCGGGACCCCGACGGGACGGGCCGAAGCGCCAGGGGGAGTTCTTTTGGAAAAAGAACCAAAACCAAAACCGAGAGGTCCAGCACGCCAGGCACCCCTGCGATGAATCGACAGGGGGCGGCGGATCGAAGACGCCTACGGCGAATCACAGCCGCCCTCTGCCTTTTTGGAAACGCCGATGTGGCCGAAAGTTGGACTAGAGCTTGGCCAAGCTATCGGACCATGAGTTCCCCGAGTCGGTTTGGAAAGCTTTCGGGGAACACATGGGAGAGAATGATTATGAACAGGAAGAGGAAGAGGAAGAAATAGAGTAGGAGGATGAGGGTTGTTAGGAGTCTCTTGGGGCACCCTTGGGGTCTGTTGGGGGCTTCTTGGGGGCCTCTTCGAGGCCTCTTGGAGGCATCTTGGGGGCCTCCTTGGGCCTCTTGGGGGCCTTTGGGGGCTTCCTGGGGGTCTCTTTGGCCGTCTTAGGGCGTTCCTGGTCCGTCTGACGCCGTCTGGAGCCGTCTTGGGGGCCTCTCTGGGCCGTCTTGGGGCCCTCTTGGGGCGCTTCAGGGCCGTCTTGGAGGCCATGTTGGGCGTCTTGGAGGCCTCTTGGGCCGTCTTGGGGCGCTCTTGGGGCCGTCTTGGGGGGCCCTTGGGCCGTCATAGGGCCTTCTTGGAGGCCTCTTGGGCGATCTTGGGGGCCTCTTGGGCCGTCGGAAGGCCGAAAAGAAGAAAACGCAAAAAACCTTCAAAAACCTAAGGAAAACCAATGATTTTGGCCTCTTCGGGCTCTCCTGGAGAACGTCTTGGAGGCCTCTTGGGCCATCTTGGAGGCATCTTGGGGCCATCTTGGCCGTCTTGGAGGGCATCTTGGGCCGTCTTGGAGGCATCTTGGAGCCATCTTACCCGTCTTGGAGGCCATCGTGGCCGTCTTGGAAGCATCTTGGAGGCCATCTTGGGCCATCTTGGCCGTCTTGGAGGCCATCTTGGGCCAAGTTGGGGCAACAAAGGCATTGACAGACGGATTTTCGGAAATTTACGGGTGGCCGGCGGGACGGGCCGAAGCCCACTGGGGAGTTCTTTTAGAAAAAGAACCAAAACCAAAACTGAATCATCCAGCACGCCGTGCACCCCTGCAAGCAGGGGGCGGCGGATCGAAGACGCCTACGGCGAATCACCGCCGCCCCCTGCCTTTTTGGAAACGCCGATGTGGCCGAAAGTTGGACTAGAGCTTGGCCAAGCTATCGGACCATGAGTTCCCCGAGTCGGTTTGGAAAGCTTTCGGGGAACACATGGGAGAGAATGATTATGAACAGGAAGAGGAAGAGGAAGAAATAGAGTAGGAGGATGAGGGTTGTTAGGAGTCTCTTGGGGCACCCTTGGGGTCTGTTGGGGGCTTCTTGGGGGCCTCTTCGAGGCCTCTTGGAGGCATCTTGGGGGCCTCCTTGGGCCTCTTGGGGGCCTTTGGGGGCTTCCTGGGGGTCTCTTTGGCCGTCTTAGGGCGTTCCTGGTCCGTCTGACGCCGTCTGGAGCCGTCTTGGGGGCCTCTCTGGGCCGTCTTGGGGCCCTCTTGGGGCGCTTCAGGGCCGTCTTGGAGGCCATGTTGGGCGTCTTGGAGGCCTCTTGGGCCGTCTTGGGGCGCTCTTGGGGCCGTCTTGGGGGGCCCTTGGGCCGTCATAGGGCCTTCTTGGAGGCCTCTTGGGCGATCTTGGGGGCCTCTTGGGCCGTCGGAAGGCCGAAAAGAAGAAAACGCAAAAAACCTTCAAAAACCTAAGGAAAACCAATGATTTTGGCCTCTTCGGGCTCTCCTGGAGAACGTCTTGGAGGCCTCTTGGGCCATCTTGGAGGCATCTTGGGGCCATCTTGGCCGTCTTGGAGGGCATCTTGGGCCGTCTTGGAGGCATCTTGGAGCCATCTTACCCGTCTTGGAGGCCATCTTGGCCGTCTGGGAGGCATCTTGGAGGCCATCTTGGGCCATCTTGGCCGTCTTGGAGGCCATCTTGGGCCAAGTTGGGGCAACAAAGGCATTGACAGACGAATTTGCGGAAAATTACGGGTGGCCGGCGGGACGGGCCGAAGCCCACTGGGGAGTTCTTTTAGAAAAAGAACCAAAACCAAAACCTGAAACGTCCAGCACGCCGTGCACCCCTGCAAGCAGGGGGCGGCGGATCGAAGACGCCTACGGCGAATCACCGCCGCCCCCTGCCTTTTTGGAAGCGCCTATGTGGCCGAACGTTGAGGCCAGACCTGCCAAGCTATCGGACCACGTGTTCCCCGAATCGGTTTGGAAAGCCTTCGGGGAACACGTGGGCATCTTGAAGGTCATCTTGGCCGTCTTGGAGGCCTCTTGGGCAAGCTTTGGGCGATCTTTGGGGCTTTTTGGGCCGTCTCGGGCCAGCTTCGAGCCAACTTCGGCCATCTTGGTGGGTTCCTGGCACGTCTGAAGCCGTCGGAAGCCGTTTGGGGGGCCTCTATGGGCCGACTTGGGGCCCGCTTGGAATGGCTCCAGGGCCGTCTTGGAGGCCATCTTGGGCGTCTTGGAGGCCATCTTGGGCGTGTTGGAGGCCTCTTGGGCCCTCTTGGGGCCCTCTAGGGGCCATCTTGGAGGCCACTTGGGCCATCATGGGGCTCTCTTGGGGGCCTCTTGGGCGATCTTGGGGGCTTCTTGGGCCGTCTTGAGCCGTCGGAGAGCCGAAAAGGCGCAAATGCCAAAATCCTTCAAAAACCAATGGAAAATCAATGATTTTGGCCTCTTCGGACTCTCCTGGAGGACCTCTTGGAGGCCTCTTGGGCCGTCTGGGAGGCCTCTGGGGGGCCTCTTGGGCCGTCTTGGGCCGTCTTGGACTCTCTTGGGCCGTTTTGGAGGCCGTCTTGGACCATCTCGGGCGGACTTGGAGGCCATCTTGGGCCATCTTCGCGATTTTTTGAGGATGTCCCGAGCGAAACGGCCGTTTTTGGGCATTGACAGACGGATTTTCAGAAATTTGCGGGTGGCCGGCGGGACGGGCCGAAGCCCACTGGGGAGTTCTTTTAGAAAAAGAACCAAAACCAAAACCTGAAACGTCCAGCACGCCGTGCACCCCTGCAAGCAGGGGGCGGCGGATCGAAGACGCCTACGGCGAATCACCGCCGCCCCCTGCCTTTTTGGAAGCGCCTATGTGGCCGAACGTTGAGGCCAGACCTGCCAAGCTATCGGACCACGTGTTCCCCGAATCGGTTTGGAAAGCCTTCGGGGAACACGTGGGCATCTTGAAGGTCATCTTGGCCGTCTTGGAGGCCTCTTGGGCAAGCTTTGGGCGATCTTTGGGGCTTTTTGGGCCGTCTCGGGCCAGCTTCGAGCCAACTTCGGCCATCTTGGTGGGTTCCTGGCACGTCTGAAGCCGTCGGAAGCCGTTTGGGGGGCCTCTATGGGCCGACTTGGGGCCCGCTTGGAATGCTCCAGGGCCGTCTTGGAGGCCATCTTGGGCGTCTTGGAGGCCATCTTGGGCGTGTTGGAGGCCTCTTGGGCCCTCTTGGGGCCCTCTAGGGGCCATCTTGGAGGCCACTTGGGCCATCATGGGGCTCTCTTGGGGGCCTCTTGGGCGATCTTGGGGGCTTCTTGGGCCGTCTTGAGCCGTCGGAGAGCCGAAAAGGCGCAAATGCCAAAATCCTTCAAAAACCAATGGAAAATCAATGATTTTGGCCTCTTCGGACTCTCCTGGAGGACCTCTTGGAGGCCTCTTGGGCCGTCTGGGAGGCCTCTGGGGGGCCTCTTGGGCCGTCTTGGGCCGTCTTGGACTCTCTTGGGCCGTTTTGGAGGCCGTCTTGGACCATCTCGGGCGGACTTGGAGGCCATCTTGGGCCATCTTCGCGATTTGTTGAGGATGTCCCGAGCGAAACGGCCGTTTTTGGGCATTGACAGACGGATTTTCAGAAATTTGCGGGTGGCCGGCGGGACGGGCCGAAGCCCACTGGGGAGTTCTTTTAGAAAAAGAACCAAAACCAAAACCTGAAACGTCCAGCACGCCGTGCACCCCTGCAAGCAGGGGGCGGCGGATCGAAGACGCCTACGGCGAATCACCGCCGCCCCCTGCCTTTTTGGAAGCGCCTATGTGGCCGAACGTTGAGGCCAGACCTGCCAAGCTATCGGACCACGTGTTCCCCGAATCGGTTTGGAAAGCCTTCGGGGAACACGTGGGCATCTTGAAGGTCATCTTGGCCGTCTTGGAGGCCTCTTGGGCAAGCTTTGGGCGATCTTTGGGGCTTTTTGGGCCGTCTCGGGCCAGCTTCGAGCCAACTTCGGCCATCTTGGTGGGTTCCTGGCACGTCTGAAGCCGTCGGAA